TTTATGGAGCCTAGGAGAGGCCCCTTCAGGGGCTGGGAGGGCAGGTGGATGAGAAGCTGTATTTGTTGATCTCCAAGCCAGCACATGCTGGGCACCTGCCCATGTTGTCTCACGTGCTCCTCGCAGTAACCTTGTGAGATTGACATGCTCACGCTTATTTCAAGATGAGACAACTAAGACCTATTAAGAAAGGTGGCTTTGCTGAGGGTTGCACAGATAAGAAGGGGTGTCCCCATAGCTTTAATCCAGTGTCTTTGACTCTTTGGCCCCACGCTCAGGTGTCTTCCAGGAATGGGAAGAGAGTGGGAGAGTACAGGAACCATCCCTGGCCCACGGTGTTTTTGTGGGAGGTTTTCTCTAATGTCCACAAAGATGGCTGCGCCTCCACAGGCCAGTGTTCATGCCACTGTGAGCCTGAGTTAGGATGGCAAAAATACCCCGGCCCTGGCATCCTTTGTGGGACCATCATCTTGGACCCCCCTCTGAAGGGAAGAAGCACCTGGCCCCAGGCTGGGCCTGCCCTCCTCTCCTGCCCTTTTCACCTTGGTCCTCTAAGCTTCTCCAGTGAACAGGTTCAAGGGCCACTGGCATCCCCGGCAGTGGGCAGGGGTGACTGTGGGCTCTGTGTGCCCCAGGAAGGGCACAACAGGCTATTCTGTCTTTCTGAGCTGGGGCCTCCCCAAACTCCCATTCTGAGAAAAGACGAACCTCCCTAGCCGTGTGGGAGCTGCAAGGACCTGGAGAATTGGGGAAGGGGAGGGGAATGGGATCACCACGCTTGTTTATCTGCCACACCAGGGGCCCCTTTTGACTCTTCTGGGGCCACCCTGGCAGCCAAGGTAGGGTGCCTGAAGGGTGGGCTGGGGCACTTTGGGTGACCTGCAAAGACGGCCTTTCCTTGGAAGCCAGTGCACAGTGCCTGCTCTGTGCCTGGCCCTCAGCTATACATTGTGGGGGCAACAGAAAGGTAGAAGAGACCCTTAGCCTGGGAGAGCTTCTGGCTGGAAAGAGAGAGTTTCTAATCCTCAGCATCTATGGTGCTGGGATCCATGCTGACCGAGAGCAGGGAAGAAAGGCCACGTGAGGGGCAGGGGAACCACAGGAGGCTTTCTAGACAGATGAGGGCCACTCAGGCTGGATTCCAAAGGAGGGGGTTTGGGGTGGACCAAGAAGAACAGCGAGAAGATTCTCGGTGGCTGCAGCATGAGCAAATGTAGCTTTGGGCATGCAACGTGGTGACATTACAGAATAGCGAGGAGCCTGGTGGTCCCACAGGCACACAGCAGACAGCGTGTGTATGTGTGTGAGCAGTGGGGCGGTAACATCATGTCAGTTTAGCCTCTGGGGCGAGCCAGATTCTAGCATCCCAAGCCTGAGCCCTGATCTGTCGGGCTGGTTGTCTCCATCCTTCCTAGTGGGCCTGGCTTTGGCTCCGTTCTTGGGCCTGGGCTGTCAGCCCCAGAGCCTGCCTGGCAAGGAGGCTCCCTTGTTCTCCCTGCTAGCCCTCCGCTTCACCAAGACCTGGCCCTCTTTTGCCTTCCAGAGGCCTGGAAAAGGACGGCAGCCTCGGCGAGGGCCTCACACTAAAGAAGCAGAGTGGCATGCACCTGACTCTGCCTGATGCCCACGACGCAGACTCCGGTAAGAACGTGCCCCGCGGGCAGCTGTCCGCATGAGCCCACATCTTGCTCTCCCAGCCTAAGCACACACACAGAGTGGCACCTGCCCAGCCTGACCAAATCCACCCCACTCCTTGCCAGCTACTGCCCAGGGGTCTTATGCTAAGGAGCCAAAGAGCTGCCCTCAGGCATCTTTCGGGGCCCATGCTGGCTCTGGGGCAAAACGGCTGCAGGCCCTGGGGCTGGAATAGGCATGAAAATGGTGAGCACTGGGGTAGAAAGGTAGCTGTGGAGCACAGAAACCATTTCTCCTTAGGCTAAGGCTCGAGGCCAAGGTCTGCCATTATAATGTCCTTAGTAGATTGAATCAAGTAGGAAGGCATGAGCTGAGCTTATATTTACATCTTGAAGCCCAAGCTGGCTTTTAACTGAGGACCTGATTAAAGCAGAAAATTTTCCTCAAAGACAGCATAAGAATTAGTCACAGGAACGAAAGTGTGAGGGAGTTGCATTTAGTGGCATTGCCCATTTTTTCCATTTCTGTGGACATGAACCAAGTTGCACTTCCATTGTGAAGTGACAGCACTGGTTTCCGATGCCAAGCCCAGCCCCTGGCTTGAAAGGTACATCTGCATGTGGAGCTGCTGACTCCAAAGAGGGAATGGCGAAGGTGGGTGTAGCACCCTTGCAATTGAAGAGGGAAGAACCGTGAGCAAATTATTAGGACTGTGCACTCTTATAAACTGAAATCCTCTGTGGTTTGCCCTGAGGTCTCCTGAGTTTACTGGAACCTTTATTGCCTCTGAGAGAGTGAGAAAAAGTGCTCACATTTCACCTGCATGTGAATCATAAATGTCAACAGCTCATATATCCTGAACAGGGACCCACGTCACCCAGAACTACCACCGGAGAGGTTTTCCAGAGGGCACAGGGTCTGACCTGAGCTGCTACCCAGGGATCCTTCACAGTACAACCTCAAATGGGACATTTCTGTATAAGAAACAGTAATATGCACCTGTAAAAACAGAAAACAAAAATAGCAAAAGGAAGAAAAGAAAAATCACCCATAATTTCACCACCCAGACCTTATCAATGGCCTTCCAGACCGTTTTCCATGCTCATATTTCTTTCTTACAAAAAGGTAGCCATACACTTTTTCAGCCTGCCTTTTTCACCTACCTGTAGAATGTGAACATCTTCCCGTATTAATGTCCATGTTTGTGCATCGTTTCTTAAACAACTGCATAGCTTTTTATGAATATACCCTCACTTGTGTTTAATCAGTCCCTGTTGTTGGACATTCAGGTCATTGCTGTTTGCGGCATTACAGGCAGTGGTAAAAAGCATCCCCAACATGTATGATTGTCTTTTTTAGTGATAGGCTCCTAGAAGGGGACTCACTGCCTGATTGCCCCTTTGAAAGCTCCTTTCCCCAGCCATGGGTGATGGTACAAGGTGTGCCCTTCCTAGTGGCTCTGTGAGCTGCTTGGCAGCCACCTTGCCCTGACTTGGGGTGCCCTGTCTCTCTCCATGGGGCTGAGTAGTCTCTGCTCTTGGAGCCTGTAGTGTGTGGCACTCCCTCTCTGTTGCTCAGCCCCCTCCCATCTTGCTCTGCAGGCTCTCGGCGGGCATCGTCCATCGCAGCCTCCCGGCTGGAGGAGGCCATGTCAGAGCTGACCATGCCCAGCTCAGTCCTGAAGCAGGGCCCCATGCAGCAGTGGACCACACTGGAACAGATCTGGCTCCAGGCTGGTGAGTGTCCCTGGCCCCAGTGACATCCACTCACCTGCCAGCAGGCCTGCAGGCTCTCTCAGCTGTATCCTGTCCTGGAGAAGGGAGTGTGGGGAGGTGGGGGCTCCTGACAAGGCTCGCACAGGCTTCACTCCTCATGGAAAGGCCTGGCAATCAGGAACCTGGAGCTCTAGTTCCAGTTGTTTCTTCTTTGCTTGGCCCGGGAAAAGTCACTTAATCTGTCTGGCTATGGGTTTCCTCTCTGCCAAATGGGAATGGTGCCTGCCTGCCTACCCAGGAGAGGCTCTCTGGCAGCAAATACATACATGAAAGGATTTGAGGAAAGGCAACGCAGGATAGTCTCAGTCTCAAAAACAGGCCCCATTCCTCCTTCTTGCTCACCTTCTGAGCAGAACTAGCTAGTACTCCAGCAACTAGTTAGTACTCCAACCCCACGAGCTCACACAATAGCTAGAGAGGTGAGGCGTGGTGGCCCCCAGGAAAGGGAGGTCTAGTGGTAGAGTTCATGGAAGGCAAAGAGCTGGTAACACTAGGGTTGCCTTTCAGGAGATAGTCCCTCTTGGTAGCTAATTGGCACTGTTGCCACCGTGGAGTTTGAGAGTGAGTTAATGTTGGGGAGGCAGGCAGCTTCAGAGTCGCACAGAACTGGGTTCTAATGCCAGCTCACTCCTGCCTGCCCTGATCTAACATGAGCTAATGTGTTTAAGGCAGTTAGTGCAGTGTGGGGCACATAGTAGGTGTACAGTGAGTGTTGTTGGCTTGTGTTCCACCCACTGTAGTCGTAGAGGCAGTGTGGCACCAACAACATTGAGTGTTTTTTTGTTTTGTTTTTGTGTAGAGGGCAGTGTCACTGGCCCTCATATGTGGGATCCGAACCGGGGCCCTCTGGCATCCCAAGCCAGCTCTTAACCACTGCGCCACTCGGCCGGCCCAACATTGAGTGTTTTTGATGCTCAGCTAAGGAATGCGAAGGAGTAACTCACTGGAGTGATTAAAAATTTAATCTGATGGTGGTATGAAAGGTGGATTAGAATGAAGAGAAAATGAATCAAGGACGGAGATGTGCCAGAATGTGGTAAAATGGCAGCAGAATAAAGAGGAAGGTAATAGAATAAGTGGAATCCCAAATATGCACCAGGCCAACATGCCTCCTTGATTGAGATCTGCCCAAGTGAAGCTCCTCACTTTTTTCCTGATTATCCTCCTATCCGCCCCCTCCTCACCAAGGGGGTGGTGCCGATAGCCTCCAAGGGGAGATAGGAAAGAGAGCAAAAATAAATAATCAGCTCCTAGGACACACAGGTTTTGCAAGTCAGAGTTAGAATGTGCTTGATTGAGAATCTAAGGTTTCCCGCAGCATGGATTTCACATATGGACATTAGCATACAGTACACCCCCACTCTTCCCTACCACAGGCTCTGAACCTGGGGGAAAAAAAAAAGTTGGACCAGGATTCACAGAAAGGCTAGATAGGGACACGTTTTAATAATGCAGATATTGCCCCAGTTACTATATCAGTGTCCCTCAGGACGCTAAGGATGTGTGGGAGCTGTGCTCCACAGTCAGCTTGTTGCATCTTAAGTAGGAAGAAGAATGTTGAGAAATCCAGAGGACTGATAGAAAAGGCCTCCTCTTAGGCAAAGATTCCTGTCTTCTTCTAAGATATGGAGCCATAATGGCTCTGGAGCAGCATGCTGGGTGCTTCACCAACTCCCAGGAATGTAACAGTAACACAGTGACGCAATTTCGGAGTTGTGTGCTACCTACTCTGGAGCTCCCATTTTGTTGGCTCTGCTCTTCAAGGGGTATCACTCTCATACCTTTGATCCAACATGGCTCTCCACCACGTTCACATTCCAAGGCATAACTAGGAAAAGTGGGAGGAGACACTTCCTCCCTATAAGGACATACCCTAGAATTTGCACACATCACTTCCCCTCACGACCCATTGGCCAGAACTTAGTCACATGACCACACACCTAGCTGCAAAGGATTATGGGAAATGTCATTATTTTGTGTGTTCATATGCCCCATTAAAAATCAGGGGATCTGTCATAGAAGAAAGGGATTAGACTGTTGGACAGCTGTCACAGCCAGAAAGGGAAGTAAGAACGTGTCCTAGGTCTTTCATTCTAAGCATGGGAAGCTTCTGGAGCAACCTGCACTCCATGAGCCCTCTCCCCTCCTCTGGCCATCGTCACCAGCAAGCATGTGAAGGGCTGAATGACGGGCTGCCAGGAGCAGATCACCAAGGCAGTAACTTCTCCGTAACTTCCACCCTCCCCACAACCTGACCTAGCCTAAGAGCGTTGTCACCAGCACCCCCACCCACCTGCCTGATGACTCCACCAGCTGCAGCAATTTTGCAAGAAGGGAAAAAATATCCCCCTGTATCATTTTGGAATGAGCTAATCCCCCTGGTTTGGTTCAAGATAAACTGCATCCTGTTTTGGCAGTGAGTTCCATCATTAACCCACTCTTAGGTTGGGAACTGTAATGTCCTTCCTCTCCCAACTCTCATCCTCCTCCCCTCCCCTCCTCAAGCCTCCTTTCCATTCTTGTCTGATGCGAGAAGCCTCACAGAGGGTTTCCACTTGAGAGATGAGTTTCAGGAAGTTTGCCTCGTTGGCAGCCGGTCTTTGCGAGCATGGGAGAGGCATCACACCCTATAGATACTCCAGAATGCTGGGTGTCGAGAGGTGCTTTCCAGGAGAGCAAGGTGGCCCACCTTCCTCTCTCACTGTCCTGCTCATATTTCTGGGAACTAACAGTGTGCTAAAGAGAGGCAGGTGGATGAAAGGAGAATCCCCCCCCCCCGCCCCCGAGGTCCAGGGGCTCACAGGCGGCCATGGGCTTTCCCTGGGTCAGGGGAAGTTGACGGGTGTCTCAGCTCCCCTATGGCAGATTCACACTGCCTGGGCGCTGGTCCCTAGGTCTTTAGGTAGCACTGCAGGTGGAAGCTGCCCCAGCCAAGGCTCTGTCTGAAGATTGTATTGTTATAAAATGATAATCACGGAAGCAGCTGTGTCTTCCTCTTGGTCCCGCACGCTCCTCTGATTGTTTTGTTTGCCTCATTCCTCCTCGTTCCTTTCCTTATCTTCCTTCACTCTCCCTTTCCCCAGCTTCCTCTACCCTCTGCCTCCTGTGCCTTCTTTCCATGTCCTCTCCTCAGGCTTTTTCTTCTTCCCCACTCTCTACCTGTCAGTCCCTCCTCCCAGGGTTCTGCGTTAGCAGAGAGAGCACTCCCAGGACAGGAAGTCGGGAGCGCAGGCCCAGCCTTGACTCCCTTGTGGCTGAAGCACGTCATGCCCCTCTCTGGGTACCAGGGGTGGAGGGTCTCAGACCAACCCCAAAATCCCTTTAGGCCTGTGGATTCTCTGTTATTTTCCTGGGCCTCCCTGGTCTTGTCTCCCATCCCTCCTTTGTCCTCCCCGCATTCCTCCTCCTCCTTTATTTTGGGTGTCCTGGGTCCTGAGGGTATGCTCCAGGGGGAGGATGCGCATTTCCTGTAGGGGGCAGTTTTGGTGACTCCCTTGAGGCTCAAGGCTGGCTAAGGTGGATTTTTTTAGGGCCCAACCTTAACTTCTTTCCTTCCCTTGGGAGCCCCTGCCCTTTTAGCTGGGTGTGCCCCCCTCCTTTCTGAAGTCTCTCAGAGGGTCTCTAGACAGTACATCTTGCCTGGGGAGGCCCTTAAAGAGGCCTTAGGCATGGCCCTGGGGCCCCCCCTCACCCAGCTCCTCAGCTGAGGACCAGCTTGATGGCAAAGTTCTCCCTGCAAAGGGGGTGTGCAAGTAGCCCAAGAAGAGTGAGTCCATCCCCGGACCTTGCGGGGTGGGGCCTTGGCATTGGCAGGAAGAGCAGGAAGACCGGACCCAGCTCTGGGTGCAGGGTTATATCAGGATGCCTCAGAAAAAAATAATAAAAGGGACTGTTGCAAAGCTCCAGGGAACAGATGTTTTCCATTTGGAGCCTGCCGAGAAAAAGCGCAGAGGGGGGCGGGTGGAGAGAGATGGAGGGAAGAGGAAGAAAAGCCGAGACAGACAGGCAAGAGAGGACAGCAAGAGTAGGCAGGGAGGAAGATGAGAGAGGGGGAAAATCAGAGGCAGGGAGAGAGCGTAAAGGAGCTGGAGGGGTCAGAGAGCGGCCCTCTGACAGTGAGGGGACAGCGAGGCCCCTGTTGGCTGGGATGATGACCACGACTGTGCGAGTTCAAGAAAAATCCAGTAACAGTGAGTGCTCATCCAGCCCTGGCCAGGGAAGGCCGGGATGGGTGTGGGCACCTCGCGGCCCTGGCAGCCCGGGCTGGGTAGTAGAGGATCAGGGCCATAGGCGGGCACGGTGCCATGCAGCTCCTGTTGCGGCCCAGGCCAGCTGTCTGGGAGCACCATGTTTGGTAAAACAACTGCCCAGGGCTGCAGTCTAGGAAGAAGGGGTGCACTGCAGCCCCCCAGACCTGTGGGCCTATCTGCAAGGCAGCCAGCAGCCCTCGGGAGACCTCTCTTCTCTGACTCTGTTGTATGTCATCTGGTTTCCTGCCTGACTGGTAATGAAGTCCATTGGAGCAAAGCAGCCCTCCCCATCTTTCAGGGCATGTTTTCTGGCGCACAGCCAGCCCTACAAGGCCCAGAGCCCCAAGGAAGGAAGAAGGTGTAGGGATCCTGTAATTGAAGCCTGTTGATGTGAAGGCACTGGGAGGAGTCCCCAAGAGAGGGACCAGGGCCAGCCTCCAGAGAGGAGGCTCAGGAGGTAGGGCGGCAAGTTGTAAACAGCTTAATGAGCCATGCCAGGACCAAGTGGGCCGGTGGGCCAGGCTTGGGGCCGGCCTGCTGGGGTAAGGTCTAGGGAAATGGAGAACCTGGCCTCTTGAGCTGAGCTCCTAGTGATGGAGGAAGCCGCCTCCCCACCCCCTACATTCACACCACACACTTCCTTCTGCTTCTCCCCTCTCCTCTGTGACCCTGGGGACTGCTGCCACCGTGTAGCCCAGCACTCCAGGTCAGCACAGCCTCCCTTCTCTCTGCCAGTACAAGTGCCCCTGAGCCTTCAGGCCATAGCTCAAATGCTGCCTCTCCCAGGAAGACCTCCCTGACCTTACCAACACAGCTGATCTGACCTCTTCTGAGTGCCCCGAACACTCAGAGTTGGCACTTGTCACTCCACTGCCTTGGGCCACTCCAGTGGTTTGGTGGCTCAGCTGCCCCACCTCCCCCCACCTCCCCTTCTTGTCCTTGTGGGAGGGCCAGGCACACAGAATTCAATAGCTAGTTATGAAGGCAGCCTGCTCAGCCCCAGGCCGCAGCTCCAGAAGGGAACACAACAAGAGAGCAGAGGACAGCCAAGGCTGAGAGAACCAACCCCCTGACCAATGAGCCAGCCCTCCCTGCAAGGCCCCAGCTTGAAAGCCTCCCCTTCCTGAAGGCCTCACCTCCCCATGCTTTCTGCCTTGGGAATCTCCCGTTCAGGCTGTCTCTGAATAAAAGCCTGCCTTTCTCTCTCTGTGTCCCCTTATCATGGGAGCCTGGCTCCTCTGTGTTTAATTAATTCTCTGATTCTCCCAAATTCTGGTCTCCGCTAGGGAAAAGGAATACCCTTGCTCAAAAAGCCCTGTATAGTATTTTAGGATGTGATAAACCATGTGATTGCACAATGGAGCCTTAAGCAACATTCACGCTAAGTACCCCAAGTGCTGTGTGCTGCAATCAAGGCCTTGGTTAGGCCTTCTTCCTGCTTCTTGTTGGAACAGGAAGATGGGATGCCCGGGACCAGGTTTTCCACCTCTTTCTGGGAGCTTCCTTTGAGATGGATAATGAGATGTCTGTTATCCATCTCATCCCAGACCTAATCTGAATTCATAATCCCAGTTCTCAGCCTTTGCTACGAACAGCTCTTGGCAAAGTCACAAGCCAGGCTCTGCCTGCCCTTCTGTGCTCTCATCTGTGCAGGGGCCCCAGCCGAGCCTGGGGCTGCTGTGACAGGAGAGCTGAGTGGGCCGCGAGGCCGAGCTGCAACCCCCATTAGCCACACTGTAAAAGCGCCTGCTGTGGGTGTGTACCTGCACAGGAGGATTTGAAATGTGCGTTTATGGGGGCTGGCACAGGATGGGAGAAACTGCCCCATTTTCCGCTGATCGGGAGCAGATTGTGTGTGTTTCCCCTGTTCCTCTCAGTGCAGCAGAAAGACCTGGGCTTTGGAGGGAAGCCAGGAGCTGCTGGGGACCCAGTCCTGCCAGGCCCCTTCCCACTGAGGGACTGGGGTGAGCGCCTCCCTCTCTCACCTGAAGCCGGTTCCCAGGGAGGGGGCTGCTGCCTCTGACTTTTCTACCACTCTCACTTCCCACTGTCCTGGTTTCGCAGCCGAGCTATTCATGGAGCAGCATCACCTCAAGGAAGCAGGTTTCTGCATCCAAGAGGCAGCGGGCCTCTTCCCCACCTCACACTCGGTGCTCTACATGCGGGGCCGGCTGGCCGAGATGAAGGGCAGCTTGGAGGAGGCCAAGCAGCTGTACAAGGAGGCGCTCACAGTGAACCCCGATGGCGTGTTCATCATGCACAGCCTGGTGAGTCAGCCCCGCACCCCCACAAAGGGGTCCAGGGCCCTCCTGCCCCCTCACCCCCTCCATGCCTGCAGGTGCCTAGCTGCCACTGTTCCCTGGTGGGAAGGGGTGGGGGACAGGGAGGTGGCTTCCTCCCTCCTCTGTTAGGAGAGACAATGCTTCTTACAAATACAGGCCATTCCCCTTCAATCAGAGCCTGCCTGCGTTGATGAAAAAATCTAGGAGGATTGGTTGATATTCTTTGCGACTTCCTTTTCGCTGTCACTTCCTGTACGGTCATCTAACCCCGAAGGGCTTTCACTATTACTCATCAGGCCCTCGCCCTGGAGACTCTAGATCCCAAAATGCTCCTCTTTATGTCCTCAGGCCCTCCCTGATCACCAGGCCGCCTCCCCCATTTCAGAGGAGCTCCATGTCTCCTTGGCCGGGATTCAGCGGGCATGCTGAGATGGGCTGTCCTGTCAGGCCTGACTCCAGCGCACACTGAGAATGGCCTATGGGGCTCCCAACCCTAGAACATGGAGCTCAGGACTCGGGTGCCCTGGGCTCGGGGACCTTCTTCCTGTGGGAAGGTTTGGATGCTCGGAGCAGGATGCTGCTGCTCTTATCCTGACCTTGCCATTGTCTTCCTGGGAGAGCTTCTCTGTGCAGTGGGGACTCTCGGGGCCAGGGAACATTTATCGAATACCTGCTCTGACAGGTGGTACAGTAGACCCTAGGCATAACTGGTGTCTCCTGCCTGCCTAAGCAGAGAGCAGGCAGTGGTCTGAAAGCGTACAGGCCTGCATAGGCACCGTGATTGTGAAGTATAATTTAGGAGCCCACATTTACCAACACAGCCTCTGTCTATCAGGGTCTGGGTTCCACCTCAGATGTCCCCTTGGAGAGCACTTTGAGGAGGATGACCATGAGATGTCACTGTCATTTGGCACATGGAGAGCACAGAAGGATCAGGAGAACGACTCCAGATGGCCGCAGGGTTGTAACTGGCAAAAGGGGTCTGATTTGTTCATGAGTCAAAGCTCCAGGGGGTTAGATTGCAGCTCCGGGTCAGGAAGAGTGGTATAACTCTTAGACTACTCCAAGCACAAACTCAAATCACCTGGTGAGGACGTTGCCAAGAGAATGGAAACATCACATGGGCAGGAGCTGGACTAGGTCATCTTTATAAGGTCCTGTCCAACCCGAGGAGTCCTTGTGAACAGATTAGAATAGGGATTCCCAGCTCAGATTATCCCCGCTGCCTTATTTCTTAAAGGCACTCTCACTTAGGCCCGTGTGACTGTTCCGTGTCGGTTGAAGAAAGACCATGTAGTGACATCAAGCCCTGTTCCATGTTCCCCTCCACCTGGCTTCCAGTTGCCTTCCAGTCTGCTCAGCAAATGTTTGGTTTTTGCAAGGCACATCGTCCTTCCTCCCGCAATTTAGACATTAGTTCCTCTGATGAATGCCTCCCCGGAGGTCACATCCAGGAAACTTGATTAGGATATGGGCTATGTCATTAGGCCGGCAGCCAGGCAGAGCTGTCTGCCTTCCACTGCGCTCACGGATATGAGCCTGCCGTTCAGTTCCTAAGACCCGACGAAATCCAATAACAAGTACAATTTTGAAGTAACAGTGTACCATTTTTCATTTATGCTTATTATTGTTTGTAGCTATTTTTCCAGCAATCGAAGCAGTTTCCAAGGGTGGGTTTCCATGGTAACTGGAGAGCTGTCCAGAGTGGCTCCCTATAGATGTTTCTTCAATGATTCCTTTTCTCTTCCCGGGGTGCCTTTCCATGATGTGATGAAATCAGAGGCAGGCCTGCCCACTGTTAAGGTTACAAGCCACCAGAGGGGCCATTGGCTCCAGCGTGGGCAGTCCATCTCCTTTCCACACGCTCTGTTCCTGCCAGCATCCCACACATATGCATACAGAGGAGCAAATTTCAATCCTGGAGAAGATTTACTAAGCACTGTTTTTCCAAAGACACAGGAACACTTGGGGGTGTTGGTCTCCAGTGTTCCGTGATCTAAGTGTCTTCCCTATACTGGCCTCAGCCTCAGGACATCTGGGACCTAATCCTGGCTCTGGTCCTAATTCACATGGGTAATTTAAGAAAAGACACACTTTCACACTCCTGGTGTCTCCTTTTGTAAATGAATAATAATCTTCATCATTCCTAGACCGATGTTGTTCACATCAAATGAGGTGACACATGCAAAAGTGCTTCTAAAAATTTGCAATGCAATCCCAGAGAAAGCAAAGCATGCGTAGCATATGTACCACCACACTTTCCAGTCCCTCACCCATGACAGACATTGCTAATCAATCACAGCACTTCTTCCCACTGAGCATAGATGTGACATTGGGATCTTTTTCACCATGGTACAACATGATGGGGGCCATTACCCATCAGCCTAAGTCAGCTTGACATTTATGTAAGGGAGTCATTGTAAAAATAGTCGGTAGAGAATAAGAGAGTCATCAGTTATCTCAGCCTTTGTGAACTCCAGAGGTGGGTGCATCCCTGGAGAGTTATCCAGAAAAAGGAACATGGAAGGGAACTGGTGTCCCCCTGTGGAGTCATTGACAAAGCTCCCAGGGAGAACATCCTGGTTTTAACACGCCACTGTGACTTTGTGAGATACCAGCCTCTGGTGGGGACAAGGGTCCCCTGAGAGCACGGCCACCCACAGCCTGGGCTGGAGGAGCTCTTGGTCCCTCAGTGAGCCCCCTCTGAGGTAGTGGTTGAGTCCCACTCTTCAAGGTCTGGAAAGAGGAGAGTGGAGACAGACTCAGTGAGCTGTGTGGGGGCCAGGTTCAGCCTTACAGTCCTTAGAGCAGGATCATCAAATACTGGGAGGCTGGCCTCGGGGCCCCACCCGGGGGCTGCGTAAATGGGACAGGATACTTGACGAAAGGTTGGAGAAAGCCTCTGGGAGGGGAAAGCTATTGCTTTCAGGAGCCAGGGTTCCACCATTTCTAAGAATATGAACTTTGTCCCAGAAGCATGTTCTCTACTCTCCCTGTCCTGCTGCCTTCCTGCCCTGGATGTGATGAGAGAGACCTTTCCATGGTTCTGCCTCCACCTTGGGCTCAGCTCAGGTTTTTCCACCCAGATCAGGTAGGAAGGAGACACCTCCTTGGCAGTGCTTCACCCAGGAAGAGTCTCCACTGTGCCCACAGCAGTGTCCCGGAGGAGTCTGTGTCCTTGAGCCCTGGGCCTGCACCTGCCACTTGCGCTAGACTCAAGAATGGCCAGGTTGCTCTGGGAGAGTTCCAACTGTAACCAGAAAAAGGCATGCTCTCTGCAGGTGGAAATTCCCAGTGAATTCTCAGGAACAGGTCCCAACAGCCTCCTCCAGCTCAGCCCCAACACCCTCCAGGTGGCCGGAAACACTACTCACTCAGCCGGAGTGTTCAGAACTTAATTTACTGGTACAAGAATCTAATTAAAAAGGGAAGCCTGAACTTGACCTGCCTGCCTCTGAGGAAACAAGAGAAAGGAAGGACCTTGGGAAGGTCCCTCCCAAGTTCAGCGGAGGATTTGGCCCCCAGGTCGCACTGCTTTTCAGAGAGGGCTTCACAGGCTCAGCCAGAGAAGGGTCCTCAGGCAGCCTGCACTCGTCTCTCTGAGCCTATCTTTGCCCTGCTCCTCCCAGGCACCCCCAAGGGAACAGGGATGCCTGGGGATGGCAAGAAGCCCAGGTGTGGCTGGCTGGTGGACTGGCCAAGTCACCGAGAGCCCTCCCAAGAGGGGATTCCACTGAGTTCACCTGATCTTAATGGTAGGAGGGTCACTAGCCCTGGCTACAGACCAACTTGCTCTCCCTGCCCTCCACTTGGCTGAGCTGGGAGTATAGATGCTTTGATGCAGCCTGTCTCACTACAGAGAAAGCATCAGCCATGAGTGGGCAGGTGTGGGTGTTTTCCTGCCACCCCGCCCTCCTCTCCCAGGGACACACTGGGGGTGGGGGTTTCCTGCTCCTCACTGGCCCCTGCCCATGCTCCCTTGTTGAGACAGAGCTCCAGGTTCCTGCTGCCCCATCTCCCCAGAACCCTTTCCTCCTCAGGCAGCCCAGCAGCAGGGGAGACTGTCCTGCCTGAGCTTTGGCCCCTGGGATGTAGTTCCCAGGGGTGTAATTTCTGAAACAGCCCTGCTTGCTTGCTCTCCAGATGCCTCTGGAAAGACAGGAAGGCAGCATTCCTGTCATCCGTTGCTCTCTGATGAGAGCACGGCTGTGAATTATTCCCCTGCATTTGTCCCCTCTTGCTCCCTGTGTGAAGCCGCTTTCTGATTCTTTGAGTGGGTTTGGGGGATCAAGGGCCTGGCCATCCCCAGATGGCCCCAGAGCCTCTCACCCCGCTCCCCCCAGGCTGGGGTGTGCTGCAGCACTTCTTGAGTCCCCAGGAGCTTCCCACCACCATCCTTGCCTCCCAACAAAGGAGGGGTTTGAGTCAGCGAGGACCAGGGCTCTGCCTTGCCCAGCCCTGAGGTTCTGGGTCGGGCCTTTTGCTGGTGCTCCAGGATCCAACAAGAAGCTTCGGCTTTCGAAGGCCAAAGGGGTGAACTCTGCCTACAACAGAGCTTCCCTGGCTGGCCCCATCCCCAATCCTGGAGGGCAAGACCAGACAGTAGAGGTCGCACGTCTGAAATATAACCAGCACTGCCAGCCCTCAAGTTATGGGGTCACTTGGAGATTACCGTGTTTCCCCATGTATAAGACGCACCCTTTTCCGAAAAATTCGGGGTCTAAAAACTGGGTGCGTCTTATACAGTGGTTGTAGATTTTGTGGGTTTTTTATTTTTACTTTCATTTCCCGCTTTTTTTGCGCTTGTTTTTGTGCTCATACAACCACTGTATAAGACGCATCTAGTTTTTAGACCCCCAAATTTTTCGGAAAAGGGTGCGTCTTATACCAGGGGAAATACGTTAGTTCCCCTTACTGGCTCTTCTATCAAATGGGGACCTCAAGGGGTAGTTTTAGGGCTCAGATGAGTTGAGACCTATGAAAAG